GATATAACCCAGTGCATTAATAATAAAAGATATTTTGTAATTGATAATGCTTTATTACTTTAAAAAATCTTAGTTTAACCCTTTGTCATTTAGCAAATCAAAAAGATTGATTCAATTTATCTTAATGCTTGATTTCAGTAACTCATTCTACTTCAAAACATTGTCAGTTATAATATGAGCAGGTGAAATAAAAATATTTAATTAATTGTATAAGGGTGAGTATTAAGTGATTAGAACAGTAACCCTTCAATCAGAATGAACACAAGCTTAGACATCTAACCCCAAGTGTTTACCAGCTAACTGTCAACCATAATTTCAAGGAAAAAACAATGGCATTCTAATTACATTTGACTGTAGTTTGCTCTTAAACATTAATTTTAAAATAAAGTAAAAGAAACATAGCCAATCTATGCCTTTGAGGTTTTAACAAAAACATGCCCAAGTGACTGTTTTTGAAAGTTTAAGCTATAGAGGAAGCATTTGGAAAAGTAGATGTTTGGAAAAATTTTCACTGATTCCTGATTTTTTTCCCAGCATTGTTTGTTATATAGAAACACTTTTACATGTACAAGCTTAAAACCAGAATTTTATAACTGAAATGGTGGAAATAATTAAGAAATGAGTATTAGGATCTAATAAACTTAGCTAAAATTCCTTTTTCTGTTTTGGACTTATGTTTTTGAAATATAAAGCTATGATAGTACCTTTCAATAAACTTTTCTGCTCAATCAGTCTATCAGCTTCTGTTTCTTGAAAAAAGCGATCCTATCTAAAAACGCAGTTACCTGGCTACTTATTATATAGGTTTATATACATAACTAATTTATTTCCACTATAAATTGTGCATTCTTTGAGAGGTAACGCCATCTCTTACTCATTGCTTGTAGTCACTTCTTGGACACCTAAAATGCCAGGGCTGGTGCTAAGTGCTTTACAGTCTAGCCTCTGAACAACCTTATGGTCTGGTACTGGTATCATTCTCGTTTCACAAGTGAGAAATTTTAGGTGATTTCCTATGACCACACAGCAACTAAGAGGCAGTGCTGAGATGTGAGTCCTGACATCCTGGCACAGGGTCGCCATGCTTAATCAGAGCACTATACTGCTAGGCTAAGGACACCTAGCTTTAAATGAAACAGAGTAGCCTCTTTCTTGATACAAGCTGGTAACAAATGAAGGAACAGAAAAACAATTTTAGAAGGATTTTCTCATTGAACTAGATTTATTGTAATTTAATTGAGAAGAAAAGCATACTGCCATTACACTGTAGTTCTAGTTTGTCAAAGAAGTGGCAGCTATGGTTTTTATTACTTCTCAACTGTAGAAAACTCAGATGAAACGTTGGATAACAGCAGGAATTTGTTATCTCATATCTTCCTGAATTACTATCTAGAGAACAAAATGCTACAGGTGACTTTTTTAAAATTGATGGGGACTGAAATGTTTCTTTTGGGTTTAAAAAGAAAAGGCAGATCTAGAGAAAAGGAAAAGACATAGATTGACAAGATTTCATACCTCAAAGGAGAAAGGAAATAGAAACTTAACATTTAGAAAACAAAAAGGAGAATGAAAATGAAAGTTATCAGAGGAAGCTTGACAGAGTAAAACATCTATTCAAACAAAAAGCAGAAAATAAACTAAATCACAATGCAAAATTATAGATAAAAAAGACACACTTTGAGAGACTGTGGCTTGGCTTCCCCCGGCCCCCCCCCCCCGCCCTCAATCTCTTTCTTCCAGAAGGGGTCATATCAAGATTATGGAAGAGTCCTAAAAAAGAAGTTCCTTTCTACTTTCCTTCTGGTGTTCTCACTCACGCTCAGTCTTCATCATTCAATCCTCATCCAGCAAAGTGACTCTTCCTGGAGAGTAAATATGAATTATTATTGATAGATATTATGGAATGCTAATGGTGAGAATTAGAGGAGGGTGTCTCTATGGAAAATCAGCTGGCGAAACTATAATGTACATTATTATCTAGGTCTTACATCAGGAACAAGAGAAGAGTGCCCACTTTCACCACTCATATTCAACATTCAACTGGAGGTTCTGGCGAGAGCAATCAGGCAAGAAAAAGAAATAAAAGGTATCCGAATTGGACAAAAAGAAGTAAAAATGTCTCTATTTGTAGATGACATGATTTCATACAGAGAAAATCCTAAGGACTCCATCAAAAACCTGTTAGATCTAATCAGCTAATTCAGTTAAGTTGTAGGATACGAAATCAATATACAAAAATCAGTACCACTTCTATACACTAACAAATTATCTGAAAAGGAAATAAAACAATCCCATTTATGATGGGATTATCAAACACAACAAAATACTTAGGAATGGATCTTACCATAGTTCTCATAGCATTTGTTCTCCACTGGAACATTGCCTATTTTCTAGTTATTATTTGGTATCTGTCTTACCACTCCCATTAGAATGTAAACTCCATAAAAATAGAAGTTTTGTTCAGTTTTATTAACTATACAAGAGCAGCACTGATCATATCGCAGGTACTTAATAAATATTTTTAAATGATTGCATGAATGAATGACATAATCTGAACACCAAACATGTAAGCTTCTACTTTTGACCCTCTGTCATCCAAACAGCAATTCTATGGTGTTAAGATGATGACATTATTTCCCCATATTTAGCCATCAATTCCTTTGTATCCTCCAGTGTTTGAAGGTCAAGGACAGAAGAATGGGTATCAGGGGACAGAATGATTTTTGGTTGGTTGGTTGGTTTTGTTTTAATGTACTGAATGAAACTTGCCAGCACCTGAAGGGCAGGGGCGGAGGGAATTTCTTGGAATAGTCCTAAAAGGTATCTTCATAGACCCAATAAGAAAAAGTGATATATTGAATACTTTTGCAGAAACATCTAATTTAATCTCTTTTTTTAAGATTTATTTTGAGAGAGAGAGAGATGGGCAGAGGGAGAGGAGAGAGAATCTCAAGCCGACTCCCTGCTGAGCACAGAGCTGGACGTGAGGCTTGATCTCACAACCCATGAAATCATGACCTTAGCTGAAATCAAGAGTCGGACACGTAACTGACTGAGCCACCCAGGTTCCCCTTAATCTCTCTCTTTTTTTTTTTTAGGTACAAGGTCAAATCCCAAAGTTAAGTAAATACATAGTAGTATTTTATGAAGAAACGGAAAAGAATAATATGAAGCAGGTCTACCTGCAGGGCCAACGTTTTATTTCACTTCAGTAACTTTCACTATGTGTTTGATGTTAGACCAACTGCTAAGGTCAAAGCAAAACAAATTCCCATTGGGGGTAATCAGCAAGGACCTACTGGTTAGGACCTACTGTTTGTATTGTACTGGTTAGTGTGTAAATATGCCCTCTCTTCAAGCAGCTTACAATCCTACAGGAAAGAAAAAAACTTAGCTACACAATATAATTAGAGCATAAAATAAGACGAGATGCTGTAAAGAGCTCAACTGAATATTTTGTATGCCTCTGATAAAAACAAGGACTCTGTATTTCTCTTATCCAGTCCAAAGCAGCACCAGGCGTTCCTGTCCTATCTAAACTTCACCGAACGCGCTTTGCTACGAGATTACTTTTCCTAAATGTATCTTTTTAATGGCTTAACTGACCCCTCCATCCTTCATATAATTCTAGACCATGAGGTTCTCAGGGTGAAGCATACACACTACTACCCACAGTTCCCCCTGGCTGCAGAATGTGAGTAGCAACCTGAAGGACTCACTTTTATGTGGCTTCTGTACTGAATGGAAGCTGCCATTTTTCAGTGTGGGTGTCTTTTTTTCCCTCATGACATAGACAAATGTTGATGTTTACTACAAGTTGGTACATTAGTTGCTAATTAAGTTCCTCACTGCTTCAGCCAAAACTTTCTGTATTGAATCCAAGAAAAGAATGGCAGCTATATCAAAAATAAGTTGTTGGGGATTTTGTTTTGTTTTATTAAAGGAAAGTTGTATATTAAAGAATATGGGGAACTTACAGGCTGGGAGATAGAAAACCTTCATTCTTGGCTTCCTCTTAAGCTGAGCTGGTAGTTAAAGTCCCTCTGCATCTGTCGCCAGACCCTGGTCAAAGCCAAATAAATACTACAATTTACGCATCAGGCAGTCAAATAAACCGTTTATCATTATTCACTCTTTTTCATACCCACAAATTCTCAGAAGAAAAAGCTGGTTTGGGGGAACCTACAGGAAGTCAGGTTTATTCTAGAGAGGGTGCAAAGGTCATTCATCCTGGGGCTCCGAGTTCACACCTCTCTGGAAAGATGTCTTCTTGGCTTTATTTTCTCCAGGTGCCCCCTGCAGTCTTACCGTCATACCTCCGGACAGGGGGGCTGGCGGTGGGGCAGAACCTACCTGTAGTCACCAGCTAAGGGTAACCCCTTCCTGCTGGCGTCAGGGTCTGTGGCAGTTTCTCTTCACTTCTGGACCGGGAAGTCCCGAGTCACGCGCTTTCAAGCCCTCCACATTTTCGCTGACGGAGGTAATGCAAGACGGCTGTGGGAAAGAAGTCTGATTTTTTGGGAGGAAACCCCCCGAAAAAAAAAAAAAAAAAAAAAAAAATCAAAATACCTGCAGGAGGAGTATTGTTGGATCGCTGCTTTCCGAATTCGCTTTCCTTTTCCGTTTCCCACAGTGCCTGCCACGGAAAGACGGTCCCTGCCAGAGCCGATCGAAGGGTGTCTCCTGCTCTGGGAAACGTACACTCCCCGCCCCGGCGGATTACGTCTGGAAAGGCCTGAGGGAGACGGAAAGAATCGAAACAGAAACCCAAGTCCGGCAAACTACAAGAACTGCCTTGCGGAAAGCGGGGCTCAGATCTCCCACCGGAGTCGGCAGAGACGGCGTCTTGGTCTCCGGCGAGGGCGAGCGCAGCCGAGTCGGAGGGGTCGCGCCTGCCCGTCCGCCCGCCGCCCGCAGCTTCTCGCCGCCTCGTCCCCGGGCCGGCGCGCCCCGCCACCTGACCACCCGCCCCCTGCCCAGGTGCGACCCACCGAGCCCCCAGGCGCCGCCCTGGGGGTCCTGCGGACCACGCGCTCTGTCGGGCACAGCGCTGCGGACCCTGCGGGCTTCCACGCCGACCGCGGGACACACGGCTCACCTGTTGAGCAGAGAACAGCAAGCTGTCGGTCTGTTAGGGAGAATCCTCTCCCTTTGCTGAGCACGAACGAAAGATGTCGAATGGCTACTCTGCAGACAAGAGTTTCTGCTATCTCATCTCGTGTTTCAGGGCCAGACTGAAAACGTACATCCAGGTGGAGCCGGTACTGGACTACCTGAACTTTCTGCCCGATGAGGTGAAGGAGCAGATTCAGAGGACGGCCATCAACGCTGGGAGCATGCAGGCAGCTGATCAACTTCTGAGCACTTTGGAGAAGGGAGGCTGGCCCCCTGGCTGGACCAGACAATTTCTGGTGGCTCTTCAGAGAGCAGGCAGCGTTTTAGCCGCCCGCTACCTGAACCCAGAGCTCACCGACTTGCCCTCTCCATCCTCTGAGAACGTTCATGACGAGTGTCTCCAACTAATGAACCTCCTCCAGCCCACCCTGGTGGACAAACTTCTGGTTAGAGATATCTTGGATAAGTGTGTGGAGAAGGAACTCTTGACAAACGAAGACAGAAATCGGGTAGGTGTCAGTTCAGACGGAGACAGATTTTGTAACTCGGGGTTGCTCCTTCCTTTGTCCCACTCCAAATGTTCTTTGACGTCTCTGGGTAAATTTGGTTCTCTCCTTTCTTGAGAAGAGAATAGTTAGGCACTTAACAACATAATTTTGAGAACTGGAATATAACAAAAGCTCTTTTTCTAATCCTTTCACTAAAATAAGCCAAAAGAGGTGTTACCTCCAAAATAGTAATGTGTACTAATAGATAACATTTATTGAGCACTTACTATAGATACTTAGTATCATTTGCAAAACTTATGATCAGAGTTCATGCTCCCAATAATGCATTAAGATTTTTAAGGTTATTAACGTTGTTTTACAGAGGGGAAAACTGAGGTAGGTTATGTAACTTGCCCCAGGTGTCCTGGATTTAGGTCCTGGTGGTGTGTAATTTTATGCCTTACTTTATATAGTTTGATAGAACGAGTATCAGCAAACCATGACCCATGGGCTAAGTCCAGCCTATTACTGGTTTTTGCAGGCCCAAACACTAAGAATGGTTTTTAGATTTTTAAATTTTCAGTGCTCATAAAGAAAGTTTTATTGGAACAGAGCCATGCTCATTCATTTAAATGATATAACTGCTTTCGCACTTTAAGAGCAGTTGAACAGAGACCATACAACCCACAGAGCTAACAGTATTTATTATCTGGACTTCACAGAAAAAACTGCCAATCTCTGGCCTATATTATACGTTATACCATTTGATCTTGGTCCAAATGCAGAAAGTACATTGCACACACACTTTTTTTTCTTTAATCAAAGTTATGACATTCTCTGGGAATTAAAAGTTGCAGATAATTCATTGAAAAAAAGTATGTTGCCAACTGTAGTTTTTCATATTAGCAAAGGAGTAGTGGATTTTTTAGGGGGCATTTTGACAGGGTGAATTTTACAAGGCATTTTACACTTAATGTAATGTTTCATTGTTCATTGTTTTTTAAAATTTTTTATTGTTATGTTAATCACCATACATTACATCATTAGTTTTTGATGTAGTGTTCCATGATTCATTGTTTGTGCATAACACCCAGTGCTCCATGCAGAACGTGCCCTCCTTAATACCCATCACAGACTAACCCATTCTCCCAATCCCCTCCCCTCAAGAACGAGTCCATCGTCTCTCATGGTTCGTCTCCCCCTCCGATTTACCCCCTTCACTCTTTCCCCTCCTGCTATCTTCTTCTTTTTTTTTTCTTAACATATATTGCATTATTTGTTTCAGAGGTACAGTTAATTGTTTTTTATTGAACAAGGATATACTGTGAAGTATAGAAACGCTGACCTATTTGAACATGACTTATTCAAGTTTGTAAGTAAATAAGAATCTTATTTTGAAAGGCGTGTAGGCAAATAAACAAACCCATGAGTAAAAGTCCAAGGCTTTGTCTAACATGCTATGATTCTGACATTTTCTTTTTCTTCCTTTTCTTTCTTTCTTCCTTTCTTCCTTTGTTTTGGATTCACCAGTTGTTTGTATCTTCATTACAAAGTTCTGGACGCTGGCCTCACATTAGCCTATGATGTAACTTGGTCTTTAGTGAGTAAAGTTAATAGACCTTTGTAGACTTGACAGCCATAGGGCTGTCCAAAGACCCAAGCATGCATCTAATTTTGATGGCTGGTTTTCCCAACAAGTAAATTACTTTACACTGTTGTCTGTAACGTTTATGTAGTTTTGTGTATTGAGAACCAGCTAGAACGCATTATAGTAGTCCAGCTGGATATGACAAATGTGTACATCACTGTGGCAGAATCTTAATTTGGAAGACAGTATGCAGCCTTCAAGCCAGCTGGAGATGGAAGATGGCATTTCCAGCCACAGTAGCTGTTAGGAAGTCCAGAAGCAACAGAGTCCAGTAACACCACAAAGCTGTTTATGTTTGGTGGGTATGATGTCCCGATTGCCAACGAAACAGCACTTCTCCTTATTTACTCTAAATACTTCTGCCTATCAGCATCACTTTTGTCTTGCCTGGATTGAATTTCCGCCAGCTAGAATTTATCCAAGTTCTTGATTCTGGCAAGCTTGGAGGCAGCTAGCAGTAATGCAAGGGATTTGACACAAAGAAGATGTAGAGTAAAGGGGCATTTATGTACTGGGTAGCAGTTAAAGCCAAAGCAACCGAAACTCTCCCTCAAATTCATATTTCAAAAGAGCCTCTGAAAGATGGAGGAGCTATGCATTTGAAGCTTTCTGAGGAGGAATAGTGTCTCTGTGAGATTCTGGAATCATGTCTACACGTCATTTTACATGTGTCATCAGACAATGGAAAAATAAGCTATTGGAAAGAAGCACTAGGTATAGAAGAATCTATATTGATATGGGGGTCATTGATGAATATTTATCTCAAAGTAGCAAATCGTACTGGGGGAAAACATGAGAATTTGGAATGGGAAAACCTGGATTTGAGATCTGTGTTTGTTTCTTACTCTATGTGTTACTTTGGGTCAAGTTATTTAAGTTCCTTGATCCTAAATTTACCCATGAAAATGGACATAATGTCTCCTCTCACTCATGGTACTTTAGTGAATACAAATGAGAAATCATGTTTATGAAAAAGCTTTCTAATGAATAATAATAGTAAAGAGCTGTTTTGATATGATGATGATGATGAATTTTATCATCATTCATTTGGTTACCTTTCCTTGTGAATTTAAAGTTTCAGAAATTTAGGTTAATCAACCACGTTGAAACTGAGATCTTCTTAAAGCCCCTGGATTAAACTGTGATTCCAAGGAAAAACTATGTCTTTCATCTTTAGAAACCTAGCCAGGACTAGGTATAGAACTGGTACTTAAAAAGTATTAACTGCCTGATTGAATTTACTTCCAAAAGTTGTCTGGGATAAAGGATAAGAATGCATGATGTCATGGATTGCCCTGCCAGGCATTTGGAAATGGATGGATGATGGACATAAGATCTCCAAATCTGCTTTTTTGACCGCCTAAAGTAATATTTGAATAAGAAGTTAGGGCTTCAAAAATTTTTTTATTTTAATTATTTTCCTGTTTTCTTTTTTTTAAAAGATTTTATTTATTTATTTTGACAGAGAGAGAGACAGCGAGAGAGGGAACACAAGCAGGGGGAGTGGGAGAGGGAGAAGCAGGCTTCCTGCCGAGCAGGGAGCCCGATGCGGGGCTCGATCCTGGGACCCTGGGATCATGACCTGAAGGCAGACATTTAACGACTGAGCCACCCAGGTGCCCCTTTCCTGTTTTCTAGTAGACATTTTCTACTTGGTCTGTCATTTTAGTTTATTATTCTTATGTCCATCCCTGGAACCCCTGCCCTTCATACATCAGAGCCTCCAGAAATTATCCTAGATTTAGTTTTGTGTCCAGTAAGTACCCAAAAAAACGTCTTTAATGGATTGACTATTCATTCATTTGGTTTAAATTTATGGAGTGACATCTTGTGGCAGACATCATGCCAGTGGTGAAAAGACTGGATAATAATGCCAATACTGTCTGTGCTTTCATGGAGCTTATGTTGTAGTGTCGATTCATTCTTCTAATAAATAGTTAATGTCTAGTGTATGCAAGGCACTATTATAAATCCTGAAGAGTCAACGATAAATAGAAGAATCATGTTATAGATCATTATAATATAATGATCCCTAATAGAAAGGGGCTGCCCTTGGACTGACCTGCTTTTATTTTAGGACGCTTAGTGACCTCTTGGCGCATCCATTGACTTAAGACAGCCATGAACTCTGGAAAAGAGATGACCATATAAACATTTCCATAGTTACTTAATATCAGTCTGAACAGCTGAAGAGAGGTTCTTGTTTCAGTCCTGGCCACTTCAAAACATTAAACATCCAGAGTCCAAGAAGACCCCATATACCTTTCATTTACATAGGAGAACCAGAGATAGTTTGTTCGGTCCAGCTAGAAACCAAGTCCAGTTGTCCTTACATGAAGCTGAGAAGCTGAGTCAGTCTCCCCCAGCTCATTGTATTGTCAGGTAAGTTAGTAGGTATAAGAATTTTATTAGCAAGAAAAAGTACTAGTAAGAAATCAGTTATGTCAGTGTGTTGATACGTATTCATTTAGAAACACATTAACTTTTTATGGGGAACTAGTTTTTTTTCCTCTCTCTCTAAAAAATTTATTTTTTTAATTTAAAGTCAATTAATTAACATATATTATTGGTTTCAAAGGTAGAGGTCAGTGATTCATCAGTCTTATATAACACCCAGTGCTCATTCCATCATGTGCCCTCCCTAATGCCCATCACCCAGATACCCCATCCCCTCACCCCCTCCCCTCCAGCAACCCTCAGTTTATTTCCTATGATTAAGAGTCTCTTATGGTTTGTCCCCCTCTCCGATTTCATCTTGTTTTATTTTTTCTTCTCTTCCTATGAGGAACTAGTTTTTAAAAATTCTTTCTTTTTAACATGAGTTTCGCTTCCTGAGTTAACTGGGATGAGAGCTGAGCTCTGCTGCGTTAAAAAAAAAATCACCATTATATTTAAATAGTTATCTAAGGTTTTTATGAAGGAATGAAAACATTTTTATCAAGCAATTTTGTTGGCAAACCAGTGCTTAATGGAAATATCATTGCTTTCTCTACTGATTTCTGTTGGAAAGAAAAACACAGATCAAAGAATTTAGAATGTGAAAGCATGTAATTGTATTACCCACAAATTCATATTTATTTTGTATTCCATAAATTAACAATGTATCATAACTATTTTAAACTGCATATTTAGAGAAAATATTCAGTGAGGGAGGAACATGAGTGAGAATCATTATATGTCCTGTTGAAATCTCAGGTCTAAATACTCATCTCTCAAGAATTTCCATAATCAAGTTTAATAACAGGATCTAATGTCTCTAGTATGTTTTAGGAGAACAGATTAAGTTAAAAAATGTATATATATATATATATATATACATATAATATAGCTACATATATATGGCTGTTTCAAAGGTACTTTCTAACACTCAAATTCAGAAGACTTCTTAAAAATTCAGAATCTTGATGAAGCTGCTAAAATTGCAGTGGTGTTCTATGTAGTTCCACTATTCAAATAATAAAAATACTCATAGGAAATAATGACATAATGATCTTCAAATGCCTGAACACAGTAAGGACAAAGCAAGCTTGACAAATGTAATTTTACAGTTAAAATCAACTTAACTGATTAATAGTGGACGGAAGTTTAATGCCTATAATATAATTAGGTTTTTAGTGAGAATATTCATTACAGTGTATCACTTACTCTTTTTAGAGAAATGCTTTCTGATTACTTCTGTCAGATGGATTTAAAGGTGATTAAAGAGTAAGGTAATTAAAAATAGAAATGGTTGAGTTAAAAGAAGGTGCTCAAACCAGTCTTACTAAACATCTTTAGCAACTAGGGTTTAAGTTAGCAGATAATAATAAAGATACTACAAACACCGGGGAAGACAAAAAGTTTCCATTAGGAGATTAATGAAGTTAAACAAAAGGTAAGAAATGAGCGAGAATCTGCTTAGAAAATGCTGTGAGGGAGATAGACTGAAATCACCTAAATTTTATTAAGTCCAGTAGTCATCTTATCCACTTCTTGTCAGAAAATGTGCTTAAGATTGTAGACAATTGGTAGCTATAATTATAGCTCAGGAAGGCAGTATTTGGCCTCTGAAGTCAATTGCCTGGGATGAAATTCTCCCTTTGCCATTTACTAGCTTTGTGGCTTCAGGAAGGTAACTGGAATTCTGTGTGTCTTGGATTTCTGGTCTGCGAAGTGGGTTAATATTAGTTCCTTCTTCAGGGTTTCTGGGTTAATAGGTGCAAAGCCTTTATAATAACATTATTAAGTATTATCTAGTAAGACAAACATACCCACTGGGTAGAAATCATGCTGCATACTTCTGTACTAAGTAGTGTCCACTGGTGCAGTGTTTATAAAGATAGATGCTTTCTTCAGTCATCCACGATAATGACTAACACTAAATTTGTGTCAGACACTGTTCCAAAAATGCAAACAAATACCTGACACTAAAAAGTTATAGGATATATTTATAGGACTAGAAAATGCACAAATTTAATAGGAAACAATTAATCTAGCTAATCAACCCAGATTATACATGTAGGAGGTGGACGAATGTTCAGAAGGGCCTTTGAGAGGAGGTTAAGTCGGTATTTCTCAACTAAGCTGCTGATTGGAATCATGAGATCCTTAAAAAAATTCTGGCTTCCCAACACAGACAAAATAAGTCAGAATCCTCGGGGGTAGATCCCAGACATGAGTGTTTTTAAATCTCCCCAGGTGTGCCTAATGTGCAGGTAGAGTGGAAAAGCCCTGAAATTTCCTTTCAATTGCCTCATTTTGCACATGCGTAAGTCAAAGCCCAGAGGGATGAAGCCTATCCCAAAGGCACAGCAGGCTGATGATACCCTGTCTCATTTCTTTCTGGTCTAAATGTGGCTTGTATTGGTCTTTTCTCCCAATGTTTGGTGCTGTATTAAGAACTGGGAAATGCACTGTGATAATGATTACACAAATGATCCACATTTAAAATGATTTGTTAGTTTAATCTAAAAGAGAAGTCAAAGGAAGACTAAAAGTTGTAATGAATAGATACAGAAATAATTCTGCCCCATACTTTAAGGAATATATGTAGAAATAAATTAGTCTCATAATATTAAATAAACACAAATTTAGGAAAATATTATAGTCATTAATACATATTGCAAATACTAAGTAAACAAGAATATAAATCTCTTGATAGTAATTACTTAATAGTAGTGATAGTCAAGAAAGAGGAGTCAGGTAAGAAATAATTGGCTTCCTATTTATAGACTCCATGGTTTGAAAAGAAATAGCAAATCCTAGATATACGGAAAGAAATTGATGCAAATAAACCTAACAGAACTAGAAATGAAAGACGTTTTCTTTTGTCCCCCTTATTCAGAATGGCCAAGGTAGAACCTTTATTCCCTAAGTGTAAGTTTTGAACATCATAGTGGCTTTAAAAAATGGTTCATATTTAAAAGGGGGCTTGGCTCAAAGATTTGTCCCCGCTACAATCCAGAATTACTGTAAGTGACATTGTTCTTTTCTTTGGTGGTTGGACATAAGCCTTTACTAATACTTACTATGCTTAATTGCTCATTTTTTAAAAAGGCTAGTTCCTGTTTAAAATTGTTCAGAAGATGTGTGATCTTTTTAATTCTGCTTTTCTCTTAAAACAGATTTCTGCTGCAGAAAGCAATGGAAATGAATCAGGTGTAAGAGAGCTACTGAAAAGGATTGTGCAGAAAGAAAACTGGTTTTCTGCATTTCTGATTGTTCTGCATCAAACGGAAAACCACGCCCTTATCCAAGAGCTAACAGGCACCCCTTGCTTTGAAAGCAATGCAGGTATATCTAATTCTACTAAAAAAGAGTTTGTACATTTTCCCTAGTGATTGAAAGTTTAATGAAGCCTGTAGACACAATGCCAAACACTAAGATATCGAGAATCAAAATTTCAAAATTGGAAGCAATTTGAGAAATCATCTATTTTTTTTTCCCCTTTACAAATGAGGAAACTGTTGCATGGGAAAAGATTAACTTACCAAAGATCATAAAACTCAGCAAACTGGACTATTGGCAGCTTTATTTATTGGCAGCTTTATATATTTATATATTGGCAGCTTTATATATTTATGCAGCTGCCAAATATTGGCAGCTATATTGGCAGCTGACCCCTAGTCTAATATTCCTTCCACTACTCATCTTACATTGAAGACAAGATGATTATCTAAAATTTTTATCAAAATAATTTATACATTGATTAGATAACCAATAAATAGGAAGAAAATATTTTAGTGGTTATTACACCTGTGCTGCTAGTTTTCTGGCCATCTATATCAATTTTTAAGGAATTTATTAAACATTTGATAAAAGGTCTGTAATTACCAACATATCTCAATATTACTTCCTGTGAGATTTTTGTTGTTGTTGTTCCTTCAATTATAATAATAAAAGTAACATTTTAGAGCCTTTTCACATATATGATTTGTAAATCTAATATAAACTGCCATCTTATTTTTCTTTTCAGGGTGTGTATCTTGTGGTTTCAAAAATCTCATATGTAAGACAAATTGAAAGTTAATTGGTAATAACATGATTTAAGTACATTACAGTCACTTCAAGCTTACTCCACTTCTATTCATCCAGCCATCCCATCATTCATTCAACAAACAACGTGTGATGAGTGCCACACACACTGTTGCAAATGCTGCAAATATGGACTTAAATGAGACACACAAAGTCCCTATTGCCACATACCACTTTCTAATGGAAGAAGATACCCAGTAAACACTTTTCTAAGTTGCTTTTGCAAAATAAAAAGTTACTAAGTTATTAAAATAAATAGCACGTTATTTTTTATTCTGTTATTTATGAAATAGGTTAATTTTGCCCAGTAGTTAGAAATACACACACACACACACACATATCTGTGTATATATATGCATATACAGAGACAGACAGACACACACACACACACACACACACACACACACACACACACACACACA